AAAACTATGTCACCAAAGTTCGGAGAGTGTCAAATTAAAGTTCAATTTCTTGTTTTTCAATCTTAAAGATACTTTTATCACCTTCAGCACTTCCTTTGAGCCTAAAAGGTTTTCAAAGAATAAAAACTTTATTGGTTGTTGAAAAAAAAGTCACCTTTAAGCTGATTTAAGTCTTTAACCATCTTACAACAAACTTAATACAGTTTTTAACAAATTGGAAACCATCCTTAAGTTATCAGATATTTATTTTTACTTCAGGTGAATTCTTTTTCATTTATTACTTTTCTCCTGTCAATACTAAATTCCGAATTTTTTATCATTTGTGAATAAGTCCTGTGATTTATTAAGTATCTTCCAGAAGTTCTTAACATTACTAGTTAATTATAAAAATATACTTTTAAAGCCAATTTTCACAGGCCCTAGAAACGTATTTTATATTCATTGACATTTCAAAATTTAATATTTAAGATTTCATACGAATGTGGAAGTCCTTTTTGCTCAGTCCAAAACTTGTATTTTAGATTCCTTTTCTTGATTAGGTATATCCCACTGAGCTGGAAATAAAAGGCAACAGAGAGTCTGCCACATCTGTTTCATACTTGGATGTCTTACTGGAGAATGAAATTGATGGCAAAATAACAATAAAACTTTCTAATAAACCTGATGACTTCGTTTTCTTTCGTAAACTCCCTTTATATATGAATTAATATACAATGATCACCTGCGTTACTTCAGGATGCTAGAGCTCGAAGTTCACGGCGAGATACTTTTGACTTGGCGCAACATAATCTCTAGCATCCATTCTAAAAATTCTCAAAATACGTTCCTGTGAATTACTTGTTTACACTTTTTTTTAACGCAAAACAGGTTCCGACCAAATCTTAGTCGGAACTAGCTCGTTTAAACATGGCCTTTGTCCGAGCTATATAAGAAGCGTATTGACGTTCAACCGAGACTCTTACTTGTAGGAGTACACCTGCGTATGGCGAATACATGTCTCCATGTCATACGCAAAATCATGTGCTGCGTACGAACACATTCTAAATCGAGGCAGGCTACTGTGACATATAAGCTGATGTTATAAGGGTATCAACATTCTTGTTTAAAATTTCACAAATTCTGTGATAGATACAATGACTTTCATTGCAAACACAACCTCAACGAATATTTACCGACAATTTTAATACAACTTTTTTCTCCATTATTTCCATGTTGACATGTTTGCGGCTTACTCTGTTTACTCGATCCAGTTTAGGACAAAGGGATCATGTCGGGCCGGTCATTGGAGATGTTCACGCCTCCATGGCACCTGATCCCAACTCTGTTGCTTTCAGAAGTCTGGATTTGCTCTTTTCTCAATTTGTATTGTTTAATTGGTCTTTTGAGCATGATTGCAATTAGTTATCTTCATATTTTATTTTTTATTTCATTTCATTTTATTTAACAGAGTAGATATCAATATGAAACTTTTAAGAACTCAGTTTGAAAACCTCAGGTGCAATTACCTGAAAGACACTAATTCTTCAATTAAGACAATAAATGAATTCATATAAGAAAGAAGAAAGCATTTGGTTGTACAGCAAAATTGCAGAATTAATTCAAAAATTCCTCACTATTTCAGCAAAAACTGCTACCAAAGAAAGAACAGTAGCACTTCGGCTTCATGCATAAAATCATATCCAACTATAAAATATCAGCCTAATCGGATTAAATGATTGCATGATCCTTTATATTCTATAGATTTGATTTGGAAATAACACTGTAGATTTCGTTTATAAATATTGAAGCTTTTGTATATCTTTATTTTGGCTCAAATGAGCACTTCCTTTTTTCAAACACCTCAGACTTAATTCTGTCATGGGGTTGTAATCCCTGGCACGGAACAGAAGTTACAATAAAGGACGAGGAAATTAATTTAAGGCAGTTATACTGTTGGTGGTCTTGAAGAACTAGATATCTCTGTATTGACATCTGTCCCTTACGGGATTAACTTCAGTAATCAACCAATTCTTTACCTGTGGGTATAATTAGAAGCATTGATATATTGAGTGTGCATTTATTTAAATTTGAAAAATGTTCCTTGTTATAATACAAGAGCTTATGAGGGTTCCACCCTAAAATCTATTTGGGGCCTCGAGACAGTCAACACACTTATGTTGTCATAAATTCTCGTCCCCTTTCTTGGCTCTGTCACCTAATATTTGGTGCTTTGATTCCCATTTGCTGTTCATGGGCTTTATTTCCTGACTTCTACAGGATCTATGCAAAACACTTATCTATCAAACATAAAGTAAATGACCATGTTTGCTAAAACAAACTTCGTTCCGTCGAATGTTGATTGACGTTTCTCAAACAAATTTGTTAGGCAGTTAATATAAATTCACACTGAAATTGTCTACGAATTTTTCTGTATATCCGATCATGACAAGAAGCACACAGCGTATTGACCGGTTGACAGGGATGAATACTCCTCCATGGCACCTGATTCCACCTCTGTTTTCAGAGTTCAATGTTGGCTCTGCACACAGTTTTTATTGTTCAAATGGACTTTTAAGCATGCATGACCACTGTTCTTTATCTTGTTTCATTTTAAAAGGATTTTTTAAAAAAATTAAGTCATATATATACAACTACGATGGAAATGACTACTCCACTCATATACACCATTTCAGGAAAGACAAATCCCTCTTAAGAGTTTAGGATATCATGTTTGTGATATAATGACTAAGGCAGGTTTCCAAAGTTGTGTTAATTAACTCTTAATACTTAAAGAAGAAGGTATGGTTTTAGCTTTATTGTGCCCTAAAAATTTAATGTTTTAAAAAGGTTTGAAACTGGCTTAAATATTAGTTGAGTATATGACTGTAATAAATCAGGAAAGAATATAGCATGATGGAGTACCATTCTGGATATATGACGTCATTAATTTGATGCATTTCTCTATTTTAAACAGAAAAAGCCTCAAAATGGCCCATTTCAAGGGTTATTTTCCTTAAGAAAATAGTGTCCACAGCCGTCGCCCACGTTAATTTTTAGATATATTGTGTAAAATTCTTTGAAAAATCACATATCTCAAAATCTTTGTGGGCGATGCCTGTGGACAATATTATCTGAAAGAAAATTCCATTGAAAATTGATGTCTTCTGCAACTTTTTAAGAAAATACGGGAAAATGCACAAATTTATGACGTCACAATTAGCATTTGGAAGGTCATGTGAGAAAAAAGATTTGTATGATCTTTCTGCATGGAATTTCAATAATTCAAAAAGCATGAATTTTAATTTTTTACATCACTTTTATTTTTAAGAAAAACACAGGGCAAGATTTGTATTGAAACCGTACCTTGTTCTTAGTCCTAACGCAAGTCTGGGGTTAACACCAGCGTGAAAAAGAACAAAGTTAGTGCTTGAATGTCGAAATTTGTCAAGAATTAAAAGTACTTATGGAGTGCAATAAAATACAAAAAAGGATGAATAAATTCATTAAAATACTTTTTCCTATTCCAATCTTTAATCTTTGGTCCCGCCTGATCTTTTAATATATGTATATATTATATAAATATATTTAGACTTTTCAAATATCTTGTTAATTAACCTATATACAGAAAATATTTGTCTTGACTTGAAAATTGCACAAACTATTTTTGAAAAATTTGTTGCTTTTTTCTATATGTCTATTTTCGTATAACAAGTTTATTTAACTTAGATTCACAGAAAGATCAACAGTTAATTACATTCAGCGTAGAGAGGGGTAGAAAAGAAAACAAACACAAAAAACATCACATTTACGGGGAATACGGAAACCTGGCACCTTAAAAATAACTCAGATTTTGATAAAAAGTGACCCAATTACCTTTTTTTTCTTGGAAAAAGTCCTCCCTCTCCCTTTACTGAACAGAGAGGCTTTCAAATAAAGAACAGGATATAGAGGGAATTTAAAGCAGTAAAACGTCTTTTAAAAATAAACGATTGATTTTCATCATATTAAGTATTTGTGTAATTTCACTCCATTCTAGTCTTACATTAAAATACAACTGCGCCTTAGCACAGAACTGCAGGCTGGCAAACTGATGATAAAGAGCGGGGGTAAGTCATGAAATTTTTTTTAAATCTCAAATATTGTTAAATTGTTTGTTTTTGCTTGGATTCTTGAAATGATTCAAATATAAATAGTTTATCATTAAATAAATGCAAAAAGTAATATTTTGTGTACATGTAGCAAGTATTACAGAATCGTGAGCTTGTCATCCAATTCATCAGCTAAAAACAAACTGAATGTTATTTTTTTAATTAAATTTGTATAATTTCAAACTTACTGTATACAGGGTTATTTTTGCCCCATGTTATTTTCGCCCTTTCACACATGCAAACAATTTTGCCCCGTTTTAAATTTGCCTAGTCACAGCTCTATTTAAGAAATTATACTGTCTTCTTTCGATTCGCCCCGTTTTAAATTCGCCCACCTGTGAGTAGGGCGAAAGGAGCGAAAATAAAACGGGGCGAAAATTTCCCTGTATACAGTATTCTTAACTTTTTACTCTTATAGTCACTTATTAAATAGGAGCATGCGCACACACGAGTATCATGGGGTAGACCAATCAAATTAGTAACAATGTCTTCAAAAAGTATGTAAATTAACAAACCATTGTTGTGGTTACTAAGAAGCCCAGGATTTAATTTAACTTTGATTCACTGTAAATTGATACTTGTTGTCAGATTAGCAAAGTGTAGTTTTCTTCCTTCAAAATTTTGCCTATTTCTGTCAATTTTGGTTACTTTTATGCCCCGTCACCCTATCTCCAGGAGTCGTGATATGAAGAGACAATCTACACTACATGGGAAAAATATATTTGTTGGTAAAATTTGACCCCTACTTCAGCCACTAGACCATATTTGTAAAAAGGTAATCTACATATACATACAAAACGGATTGATTTTGTTGCCTTATTTTTGAGAATGCAATTTGCAAATAATATCACTTGTGCTTGTTTTAATTTCAGAATGGCAGTTTGGGTAGCTACCACCGGGTCAGACATACCAGAGGGGGCAATAAGAGGTGGATATGAAGCAGATGGTAGACCACTTTTTATTGCCAGGGCAAAAATTGGTGACACTATGACGCCTGGAAAATGTGGATTTCACCTTCCTGGGGCCCATATTCCATATGACATGAATGAAAAAATAATAAATAAATACGATGTCTTGGTTTACCCCCTGAAAAATTCTGGGTTTTTAGATTGGCAGACGGCTTCACAGGGCAATGTGCCACCAAATGCATACATGACGGACCGTGAAACCTATGTTGGTAGAGCGGTCTATCAAGGAAGTTTAGTGCCAGGAAAAATTGCTACTGGTCACCGTCATAGGTGCGCATACATTAGTTATGGAGGGAAGGAAATCAGTTTTAAGGATATGAGGTCCTGTGTCAGATGAAATGAAACCTGAATAAAAGTCGGAACATTTTAATAGATTGGCGATGGCAAAGTGAAAATCAAAGCCTTTGAAGTGCATAGAATAAAACTGCTTTGGAAAGCACCAGTTTTTCATGAACCCATATCTTGAATTTACAATATTTCTAGCATATATATCAATATCTCTGTAACCTCTATTACAACTTTTTTCATCTTCGTTGTAGCAAAATAAATAAAAATAAAACGCACAAAAATTATGTACAGGTTGAATAATTTTTTGGCGTTAAAAGTATTTTTTGTGCTGTTTAAATTGCAGATCTTTTCAAAAAGATCATCCTTATTTACTTTCTTACCTGCTTGAAAGCAAGAACAACAAATTCCTAAACGCTGTCTTCCTAAAATACCTTGTTAACAATAAAACATAAGTGCCTTGTAATGATATATTCAATTTATCCAGCTTTGATTGTCTTTTAGAAAAAACTTATTACTAAAAGAATTAAATATTTGATTGTCCTATACAGTTGAACACAACAAAACGATATATCTGAGACCAGTCACACAATTCGTATACAGATTTATGTGTCCAAAATAAAGCTGACCCGTGATCTATTATGAACTTCCTTGCACTAAAACAATTTTGGAATCTCGGAGACATTTTTTCACATGAAGATAACTTGTTCCGTAATACTGCACTAGAACATTGAAAAGAATTCTTCAAATATTTCAACCTTATATTTTCACATGTAATTCAGAATAAGATTTATACCTAGATTATTTGAATTCAATGATTGAATATTGTGGACTGTTGTAAATTCCCAACTTCAAGAAACACAAGAATTTGTTTTTTCTTGAAATGGTTATGTTGAAATATACAATTGTAGTACACTTGCCATATTGACCGTTTTATGCAAACTCGAAATTTGATTAAGTGTAACTTACAAATGTAACCATTATCTTATACTTCTGTCTATGGGTACCTTTACAAGAGTTTTAAAGATTGTGTTTAATCATAAAACACAATTAAATGCTACTATTCACTATAAATCAATTATTTACACAGCAGATATTGCTAATAAACCATTTTATGAGAATTCATTAGAATGACTTAGTTAAATTTTTTTTTAGATTACCAGTTCACTCAAATTTCATTAAAATATATTTTTGTAAGTTCATCAGTAAAATAAAGATCTAATTTGAAACTGCTCTTTATTTTGTAGACTTTATTCAAATATATGCTTCCGGTAGAGATGTGCCAGGAATATAGACAAAACGACGATATGACTCCATTTCACCTAGTAATGTCTTAAGGCTATAATTGGTCACATATGGTTGAACAGCTGGGATATCCTTGTCTTTAACCTTAAAACGCGTTGGACCGGAAGGATCTGGGGGTCGTAACATAAAGGGTACTTAAGTCTAAGACCATGCTTAAGTAGGACTTAAGTACAGTCTTAAACTTAAGACCGTAACTAGAAACGTGCTAAGATTTGACAATCTTAGCAAAACTTAGGCGGCCGGTAGAGGTGACTTAAGTATGTCTTAACTTTCTTAAACATATATTTAGAACTATTTAACGTTGACTTTCTATGTTAAAACATTCCTCTATTTATATTATGCATTAAAAAAATAATTTTCTATATTTAATATACTGGTATAAGAATTTTAGTTTTTCGTCGGGGGTGGGGGGGGGGGGGTGGGAGTGGGTGGGTGGGGGGTATTCATCACTGATTACAATATCACTCTCTAAATGACATATACATCTAAATGCAAAATATTATTTTTGGGATACGTTTGAAATATTAGTGGGACCTAGGTTATAAACACTAATCTTTATAAGTATATTGTATAATTTTAATTATAAAAGTATAAAAGTAATTTGTATACAGCAATCATGGATTTGTTTGTTCACTGTGAAAAATGAGATGAAATGATTTTAAAAATTGTCGGTGAATTAAAGGATGATGACTAGAAAACAAATAAAGATTTTCTGTAAATTAGATTGAATGTAGACCGCAACAAGCGAGGATTCAGACAGGGTTCACTAACGTTCCAGAGAGAGAGAGAGAGAGAGAGAGAGAGAGAGAGAGAGAGAGAGAGAGAGAGAGAGATTGTTGATAAGTTGGAGATATACGAAATATTATTTTCTGAAAACAATTCTTTAATTTCCATCCTTCATTAAATTGTAAATAAGTATATCATAAAACGTCTGCAGTTTCTGCTTACTGATATGGGAGGGAAAAAAATTCAAAATGTCCCTATTGTTCTGCACTTTTTTCTTTTATTAGAGTTTCAATTTCAGGTACATAGACGTTCGGTTATCGTGCCATGTCTGCGAGAATGACAATATTTTGTCAAACGAAAGAATAACAACAAACGGTAAACTGAAAACATCGCAGTCTCTAGTGATAAACAATATTCACGCATTTACAATGAACCACTAGTGACACTTTGTGACCGTGCAATATTTGTTTTCAAATACATTGTATTTCGAATGATTTAAACAGAATTAACTTTAATTAAATACGAAATTAATCTAACCTAACTAAATCCGATAGGTAAGGACGTCAGCATTAATATATATGTGATTAAAAACGTAACTAAATCATTTTTACAAATATATATATAAATGAATTGAAAAACTAGGATGATTCATAACAAATATTTTGAACATAAGTTTGACTTAGCTAAGACCTACCTAAGTCCGTTTTATGTTACGGTTTAAGACATACTTAAGTAGTACTTAGGCAGGTCTTAAGATTGCACCTAAAACATACTTATGACCCTACTTAAGTCAAAAACTTAGCAAGCTTTATGTTACGACCCCCTGGTTGTTTACCTCTGAATTGTTTTTCTCTTGTCCACATATATCCGAAAAAAAATTTAAAATCCAAACTATTTAGGTCGCACACATATTTTTACATTATACTGGCGTTAAAGACGATGTTTAAAATTGCACGCAATGATTACTTTCAAAATCCTATCATATTTTCCAAAATTTCTTTTACATCTTTAAAAGTTTTCATTCATTTCCTTGAAGTTTTTCAGTACATAATTGAGCAGGTAAGGATTCAGCCATGTACTTGATATCCAAGCACCTACGCAATTTCAAGATAAACAAACTTCGTACCTGTCTTGACGGCTAAAGATTGTGGGGAAATATTATGTGTTTATGAAAAATTGAGTTACAGAAATAAATAGGAATTTCTCTACCAAGTTTTTAGAATTAATATTATTTTCCAAAATTGTAAAACCGTGGAAATCAAAATACACAACAGAAAATTGTCATTGAGTTTCGGAAGTATTTTTTTTCTAAATTTGGTAAATGATTTATCGATAAAATTTTCAAACCCAAAGTTTTACATAAAAGTTCTGTACATTTCTCCCTTTAGGTTTAAAGAATTATTTACATTATCGAACCCTTTAAAAAAATTGATATCGTAATGTTTTGCTTGTCCATTTATAATTCATATTGACTACTTGTTCATGTAGTACATTTGATACCCCATTTTCTGTATGCAATAAATCTAACCATAGGATTTCTTTCACAGTGCAATTCAAACAAATATTTGTATAATCGCCCAAACTCAGTTCAGTTGTGGCAATGACCATGAAAAATGTTCACTATATTTCTTAACTAAAAATGAAGAGAACATATTCGGTAGTTTTCTGTATGTCAACTCTTGAGGAAAAAAATATTTGAATGAAAGGTGGATGGATCAAATTTACAATTGGATTGTGGAGTTCATTTGGTTTCATTTCTCTCTTGTTATCAATGCCTTATTTATGGAAAGTTTATGTTTAGGGGGTCAGTTCGCATAATACCATGCCCAAAATTTTATGTGATCTATAGAAGTTTTTATCTAGTCTCATCTGACCTTCTACTGATGTGTATTTGTTACTTTTCGTCGTTTACTTGAATAAATGACTTTTTTTTTTCATTTTCAGTGCTGCTGTTATTTTTGCCTTACTCCATCAAAAAATCAAGCTCAGTCGCCTTGGCTTCGTACTTACAAATATGACAAAGAAACATAAAAGATGTACCAGTTTTTAAATATTAATCGCAAATAGAAAAATATCGGCTCTTGACACAAATGAAATGTAACGTAAATCACTGTATTATTACATAAAAGAGGTGATTGTTTGGCCCTTTAAAATACTGGCAGCATTTTGAAACCGTTTTGATAAATTAAATCAATGATATCATTGAAAGTTTCGAAAGAATGATTTGCATTCCTTATAGCTGTTGCAGTAAAGGTGAATTTATACTTTTTTCCATTTGTAGAAGACGGAAATTGCATATATTTCTTACAAAACAATTTATTTTCATCAAAGAATTATATAATGTAAACAGAGAAAGCAGCAGAGTTTATAGGGTTTTTGGCAATAGAGTTTTATAACGTAATTCCCTGTACTTTTGAAACAATGAGATATTACAAAATTTCATTTCATGAGAAATAATCTGGTAACTGCTTTTATTAATGTATTTTTCATATTTGTCTTCTGCGATTTGAAGGAATGACGATTATTGGCTAAGATTATGTATGCCCGACAAAGATACAATTTTCTATTCATACCAACAGTTTGTGACACGAGTTTTCTTGACACTTTTATGTTTTAAAATACCTTGAAATAAAATATTACATAGTGAGGTTTTTTTATTCTTTGAAATAAAACACATTTTATATACAGGGGTATATCAAGCACTTTAAAAATATTGGCTTTTGTTTGTGACAAAAAATGTAAGAAAGCACAACCTAACTAAATTTGGAAAGAATACATGCATGATTTTTTTCCTGGGTATATGAAATTATTCGAAGTTTACCGGAATGTAAAGATAAAAGTAATTTTTCGGCATAGTCCTTGATGACATGTACGCTAGCACCAACTTTTAAAATTAAAAAAAAGTGCTTTAAATATTACAAATGTAAATTTCAAGAACAATAAAGTTTTCGACCCCTTACTTAGGAACCGTATGGTAATAAATGTAATGCAACTTTACTAAAAGATTAAATAGTCAGACAG